CTGCAAGGAATGTGCCTGAAAGAGTGGAGGTACCTAATAAAACCACTCAACCCCAAATTGGTAAAAAGAGGGGGAGAAGCATTTCCAAGAGGCAAGATGTGATTGCTGGCAAGCAAAAGAAGACTAGAAATGTTACTCAACCTTTAGTTGAAAGACACCTAGAGGACATACAAGGTCCTGTGGATAGATGTGATCCACTATCTAGCTCAGTTGTGCGCATAAACACTGAGCCTGGAACATCGTAAGACCCCGGATTCATCGTTTCGGGAAGTCATGTTGAATCTTTAAGGGTACATGAAATTGCTATAAATTTCATAGAAATCAAGAGTCGTATGATCGTAAGTCCATATTAGTCGACATTTATTTCTCGAGCAAATTGCAAATATCCTTCAAACCGATTCGGATCCTAAGTCTATGACGGAGTGCAAGAAGCGCTCGACCGAATAAGTGGAAGGTAGCAATTGAAACACATTGCCTCGCTTTATAAAAGGGAAGTGTTTTCGCCATATTGCCAACACCCCTCAGTATCTTCCCCTGTGGATACAAATGGGTTTTCGTCCAGTAAAATGAATGAAAACAATGAAGTGGTGAGATATGAAGCAAGGCTCGTGGCACAAGGTTTTACACAAAGACTTGGCGTTGATTTCAACGAAACTTACTCTCTCGTAATGAGTGGAATAACATTCCGATATTTAATATCACCGGCAAAGACAAAATCGTCTATCTATGCAGCTTGATGGACGTAGTGACCGTGATACTTGTATGGGTCATTGGATTATGATATATACATGAAAGTTCCCCGATGGAATCAAGATACCAAATCCCAAGGCAAATCGCAACTTGTATTGTGTCAAGTTATAGAAGTCATTATAGGGCTTGAAACAGTCATGCCGAATGTGGTACAATCGGTTAAGTGAATTAATTACTTTGAAGGGATACACAAATAATGATGACTGCCCATGTGTCTTCATTAAAAAAATCATCAACAGGATTTTGTATTATATCAGTGTGCGTTGATGATCTTAATATCATTGGCAACGAACATGATATTAAATGAAGCACGTCATCATTTAAAGACAGAGTTTGAAATGAAAGATTTGGGCCAAACCAAATTCTACTTAGGTTTACAACTTGAGCATTTTCATTCTGGTATATTTATATACGAAGCTGCCTATGTCCAGAAAGTATTGGAGAAATTCAATATGGAGAAGTCATATCCAACAAAAACCCCGATGGCAGTGAGATCCTTAGATGTTGAAAAGGATCCTTTTAGACCATAGGAAGAAGGAGAAGAGATATTTGGGCCACATGTCCCATATCTTAGTGCCGTTAGAGCACTAATGTATCTTGCTAATAGCACCCGGCCGGATATTGCATTCGCAGTAAACTTGCTAGCAAGACACAGTGCTGCTCCTACCAAACGTCATTGGGTAAGAGTTAAAACTGTTTTGAGATATCTCAATGGCACAAGAGATCTTGGATTATTCTATAGTAGAAATTAAGATCCAATTTTGTTAGGGTATACAGATGCTGGTTATTTATCAGATCCCCACAATGGCAGATCACAAATAGGATTTGTATTCTGGCAAGGTGGAACAGCAATATCTTGAAAGTCTTCAAAGCAGACTTTAGTGTCTACTTCCACCAATCATTCTTAAATAATTGCTTTATACGAAGCATCACGTGAGTGCGTATGGCTTCGCAGAATGACAAACCACATAATGCAATCATGTGGTATTGGTGCACTTGAGACACCAACCATTATCTTTGAAGATAATGCGGCATGTGTTGTGCAAATGGAATCAGGTTATCTTAAGAGTAATATGACGAAACATATTATTCCTAAATTGTTCTATCCCCATGAACTACAAAAGAATGGAGAAATTGAAATCTCACAAACTAAGTCTTGTGATAATCTTGCGGATTTGTTCACAAAGTCTCTACCATACTCCACATTCCATAAATGTGTTGAAGGAATTGGTATGAAAAGGCTTAGGGACTTGCAAGAATCAGGGGAGAATCTCTCTAAATCATAACCAGTATTCAGACATCACATTGCACTCTTTTCTTTATGTGAGTTTTACTCTTCTGGAGTTTTCTAGTATAAAGTTTTTAATGAGGCTATGTCAACACATAGTAAATGCCATATTATCTATTTTCCCAACATGGGTTTTTCAAAGATAATATTTATGACATATTGATCTTTGATCAAATTGTTTTTAGGCTATCTCTTTGGGGCCACCTAAAGGGTCTATTAACATTGGGAATTATATATATCATGGTGTTTCTCCTTATTTTTCCCAGAGGGTTTTAAAGAGTTTGCCTAGTATATCAATACACTTTGGTTTTTTCCCGCAGGGTTTTCCAAAGCTTCAAAATGATGATTGATGAACACACAATGATGCCTACAAGGAACCAATTGATCAAGGGAGAGTGTTAAGATTTATTATTTAGTGATCAATTTATGTTAATCTCATCATTAGCAACTGCTAATGACAGTTCCAGAATAGGCATAGAAAGGCACCTTTTCGCCAACAGGCAACCGCCCATTGGGCTTTTATATTTGTACAAACACTGTTCATCCGAGAATGCACATCAGTCACTTTTCATCCATCGATACTTTTTTGCTCAACAGTCATTTCGTTAATTGGGATGGCTAAAGTCGTTGCTGGTATAGGCCCGACACGGCAGACCACATAGTGTGGAAGAGTTTGTTCTAGACGGAGCATGGAAATCAAACTTCTTGCCTTCTGCTCACCTGTGGTTGTAATTACAGATCCTTTTAGCTATGCATGTGTCTATCTCGGTGCTACTGGGATCATACCTGATGTCTCTGCCTCTGAAAAACCTCCACTAATAAGGGAGACACCAAATTAAACAGCAAAGTTTGGATGGAGCTCGGTGTGTTCGTTACACACAAAGGGTTTCTCTAAGCATGGTTTTCACTACAGTATGTGGTTAACCTACTCTGGAGCACATTTCTGATGAGGCTACAGGCATATATGTACTTTCACATGCATACCAGTGCGATGATATATATATATATATATATATATATATATATATATATATATATATATATATATATATATATATATATATATATATATATATATATATTATGTATGTATGTATGTATGTATGTATGTATGTATGTATGTATGCATGTATGTAAAGAGCCATTATTACTAGTCTAGTCACCTTCGAATTCATCACATTGAGAGCATAATAATTAGCATCACAGCCATGTTGCATGTTCAGATCAAGTCCTCTCTCTTTGACCTTAAGGCCACGGTCTTGTACTACTTTGTACAATTTCTCCTTCGATCTTAATTAAAATGCAGAACTTCTGCCATTTGTGTTAAAAAAAATGTTCAGATCAAGTCCGGTCGAAAATTGGATGAGTAGAGAAAATTGGAAAAATGTATGTATGTATGTATAGCACTTCTTGGATATATTATTAGTAGAAGTTAATTGGGACGGCTACAGTCGCTGCAGCTTAGGCCCGACACGTACGGCAGACCACATAGTGTGGAAGAGTTCTAGCTAGACGGAGCATGGAAATAAAACTTCTTACCTTCTGCTCACCTGTGATTGTTACAGAGATCCTTTTAGTTATGCGTACGTCTATCTATCTCGGTGCTACTCGGATCATGTCTGATAGATAGATGTCTCTACCTCTGAAAAACCTCCACTAACAAGGGGAGACACCAAAGCAGCAAGTGAGAGTATGTGGGAGTTCCTGCGGACAAGCTTTATTTTGCTAATAATGCACGAGAGACGAATTGGCTCGCCGGACCTGTGGCAAGGTCCTCGTCGCCCGCGCCACCAGGCTAGGCTAGGCGAGGCCAGCCTGGGAACCAAACGCCATGCTGCTTCGCTTTCGGAGGCATCGTGGCTCAGGAGTGGAGCTTCGTGCATGCTAGATGAGCGCTGGTTGGGGAGGACGAGCCGTCGGCCGAACGCTGGTTGGGGATGATGATGCGTGAGCTTTTGACTGCGGAGAAGCCAACGGCGGACGAGTGCTTGGAGCGAAACCATCGCGCACTTTTAAGTAGTGTAGAAGACGAATGGAACGGTCCAAAGTGTATCTAAAAATAATTATTGTACCATTGATCTAGAATTTAGAAATCAGGGAGTAGCAACTTCTGGCGTATTTGGTATAGCCTCACCTTGCCTCGCTCAGGAAGGTTAGGCATGCCAGCATCAGTGGACGATACCGGCTTGCCCCTGGCTAGCTAGAAAGATATTGGAAAGTGCAGAAACCAAGGTAGCGAGCAAGACAACCAATGCCTTGATCTTCCTTGTCCAGCCAGGCAAAGCAAGCATGGGCAAGAGAACCAAACGCGCCCTCGCTAGTCCGTGCAACTGCTTGCGCGGGTTGAGTACAAGTAGCTTTAACTTAGCAATAGTAATTGAGTTCACTTCTCCGTTTTTTCTGGCCTCCAGAGTGGGATTATTTGATTGAAACTTCAGCAGCCGCTTCTTCGAAGGTGCAGTTAATGGCTGCAACTCTCCATGCTGCAGCGGGCTCCATACATGATAGGCACCGGTAGCATGTTTGAAGAGAAGGGTGAGGTTCTTGGCATGTTTGAAGAAAGGGTGAGGTTCTTGTGTGGAAATGGCAGTGCCACGGCACGGCCGGCCTGCGTGGCGTTTTATTTTTACGCAGCAGTTTGGGTAGCGGATATACGAGGAAAAGCATGCATGATGTTCCTTCATTATCGTCATTCGCGATAGCCAGCCAATTGCCCATACTGTATCACCAAGAAATTCAACGGAAACAACAATAGGGAAACTAGATACAGAACAGGCAAATAACCCGAATACATCAAGATGGAGGCTGAGGATCAGGTACTTTTCTCAATCTATTCTTTCAATGTTCGCGACTGGTGGCTCAGCATAAATCCAGGGCTAACACGACACATTCAGCGTAGGTGAGAAATCTTTCATCATTCTGATTACGAACATGTAGGCAAAAGATAATGGTGGGCCAATATTTATCCATCGTATTCCTCATTGGCAAATTTGTCCTCCGCGTAGCAAACCGCAACCACGGGTTTCCCACCGAATTTCCTTCCGTGCAATGCCGTCTTTGCTTTGGCAGCACCATCAACATCTGCATATTCCAGGAACACCTGCGATGGCAAGCCCATGCATCAGAAACAATTCAATACAGATGTTACAGTACAGTTTAAACCTCAAATCATAGTAAGGCTCACCTTTCCAACTCCTGCAACTGGCTGTCCACTGGGGTCAGGACGTGGGATCACAACTTTCACCAAATTTCCTGAGGAAAAGATTTTTCTTTATGTGTACTGACTACTGTAACTGTACTGACTAATCAACATAACAATTGAATCTGAAACTATTGGAGTCAGAAATGGCACATTGAGAAATGCAAAAGATGGAGAAGTGAACTCTAATTCTGCAGGAGATCAACAGTAAATACCGTATTTGCCTGCTTCTAGCCTCATGTCTTCAATAATGTCCTCATACTCTTCATCTTTCAATTCGTCTGCACTTACCACCTGGGTGAGGCAAACAACCTTTGTAGGCAGTGCTCCAACTTGATACACAAGTTTCTGTTCACAAGAGCAACTCTCAGGAACAGAACCCAAGATCAACGGTAAACGTACAACCTGACTGACATAACAGAACAAAACATTGCCATGGATGATAATTACATAGTTTGGTCTATACCTGTAACTGCACCTGTTGCTGTGCCTGTAATAGGATACTTTCCTGCTCTGGTCTAGGCTGAGATGCCCCCTGGTTTGCTCGTCTGACAGTAAGGGTTTTGTCCCCCATCTTGATACCATTTAGAGCACCACAAGCAATGTCAGTGACATTGAGGTCCTGGTAAACACAGAATGCATAGCCCTTTGAGTTACCGGTTTCCCTATCCTTCACAAGATCGAATCCACGTACAGGACCCAATGATTCAAGCAAATGCCACCCACAAAAATACGATCTGGACCTTCTAACCTGTTGGTCCCTCATCCCTGCACGAGTAAGCAGCTAGCTTACCCACACACTCACACTGGTCGGCAAGAGGTTGAAGGGGGTGAGCTCAAAACACACACATAGCACAAGCACCAGCGTTGGCCGAACTCTGCTTCAAGTGTGGCAAGCTGAACTAAGTATTCCATTGCTTTTGGATAGAATATATACAACTCTAATTGTGCCTTGCCAGGCACAAGGGCAGTTGGCAAGTACTCTGCTCCTATCTAATCCTAGTACAAGAGTACTACAGACATGACCTATTGCCACGTCGCTACAGTGACTAGGAATGACAGCAGGGCTGACCACTGCTGTCGCACGTGAGAGAGAGAGGGAGAGCAGCAGGTTATGTCTTACAATTCTTCCCCTAATCCTGCTGCTAACCTCATCCATACCAACCATCGTCCTCAGCTCCATGAACCGAAGACGCCCAAGTGACTTGGTGAGGATGTCAGCGAGTTGCCGACCAGTTTCGACGAACTCGATGACGATCTACCCTCCATCGACGCAGTCTCTGAGGAGGTGAAACTTGATGTCAATGTGCTTTCTCTGGTCATGGAGGACCAGGTTCTTGGCGAGGGCGATGGCAGGCTTGTTGTCCACCATCAGTGCTGGTGGGTGAGCTTCCACGCCGGTCAGCTCGCCCAGCAGCCGGCGCAGCCAAACCGCCTGGCACATCGCTGTGGCCGCTGCAACATAATCCGCCTCACATGTTGACACTGCCACAATCTTCTGTTTCAGCAACTGCCAAGCAATTGGAGCTAGCCCGAGGAAGACGAGCACGCCGGAGGTGCTCCGCCGTTCGTCAATGTCGCCCACCATGTCTGCATCGCTGAAGACTATAAGCTCTGGCTCACCTTCATCGTTCTTGGGGGGTGCCTCGCTGAAGACCGTGAGCCGCAACCTACTCCCGCCACCATGCTTGGGGAAGATGAACGCCTGATCCAGTGACCCCTTGATGTACCGCAGAAGCCTCTTCACCACCGTCCAATGGTCCTCTCGAGGATCCCCCATGAAACGACTAACATACTCGACCGCGAATGCGATGTGCGGTCTAGTATGCGTCAGGTAGCGCAGCCTGCCGACGATGCTTTGGTAGCACATCGCGTCCACCTTCGCCGCGGTGCCGACGATGCTTTGACAGCATGATCCTCTCCTCCACTGGAGTCGCGCTTGGCTTGCAATCCGCCATGCTGTTGTGCTCCAGTAGTTTCTTCGCGTAGGCGCGCTGGACCAGGGAGATGGAGTCCTTCCCCTGCTTCACCTCGATGCCGAGGTAGTAGGAGAGCGTGCCGAGATCGCTCATTCAAAAATGAGCCGCCATCTCACGCTTGAAGCCGTCGATGTCCTCTGCTCACGCTCCGGTGACGATCAAGTCGTCCACGTACACGCTGACGATGAGCTCCTCATTCCCCCATCGTCGCGTGTAGAGCGCGTGCTCTATTGCGCAACGAGTGAACCCAAGCTCGCCCATCGTGGCATCGAGCTTGGTGTTTCATGCCCGTGGGGCCTGTCGAAGCCCATATAGCACCTTCCGCAGCCTGAGCACCTTGTGATCTGCTCCCATGACAGCGAAGCTCGGATCTTGCTCGACAAAGACCGTCACCGTGAGCTCGTCGTTGAGGAACGCCGATTTGACGTCGAGGTGGTGGACGCACCAGTCCTTCGCCGCTGCCAGGGCCAGCAATAGCCGAACCGACCCCATGCGCGTCACCGGCACAAAGACTTCCTTGAAGTTGATACCCTCATGCTGGATGAAGCCGCGAGCGATGAGGCGCCCCTTGCGCTTGACGATGGCACCGCGCTCGTCCCACTTCACCTTGTATACCCACTTCAGCCCGATCGGATGACATCCTGGAGGCGGATCGACGAACTCCCAAGTCTCGTTCTCCTCGATCGCCTTCATCTCCTCCATCATCGCTCGTTACCAATAGGCATCGCGCTCAGCTAGTGCAAACGTGGGCGGCTCCTCTGCATGACGAGAAGAAGCTCTAGATCGTCGAGCAGCCGACTCGCCAGGCCTGAGGCCCCTACATTGCCGACAATATTATCCACCCTGTGGAACCGCATCTCCTCGCCGTCGTGGAAGGCATCCACGAACTCGCTGATGTCGCTCGGAGGAGAGGTGAACTCGATCGGTGGTCCCAGGCCTCCCTGTTCTACCGGAGCGGTCGGCACCACTGTTGGACCGCTTGGCACCACTCCTGGAGTGTCAGCTCCACTGCTGGAGCGCTTGGCACCACTCTTGGAGTGGTCGGATCCACTGCTGGAGTGGTCGGCACCGCTGCTGGAGTGGTCGGCTCTGTTGTTGGAGTGGTCCGCTCCGCTGCTGCAGTGCTTGGCACCTCCTCTGGAGTGGTCAGCTCCACTGCTGGAGTGGTCGGCACCTCCTCTCTAGCGTCTCCACCACCGTGGAAGACTAAGTGCTCAACGATGAAGGTGCCGCTGAAGCCGCCAGCTTCCCTCATGCCCGGACCCTCCCAGTCCTAGGCCGTAGAGCTGATATGCCTTGGTGCCCTCCTCGTAGCCCAGGAGCACCATCGACGTGCTCCTATCTTCCAGCTTGGTGAGGAACGGCTTTGTCTTCTTGACGTGGCCGATGCAGCCGAACGTCCTGAGGAAGGACACGTCCGACTTGCGCGCGTACCATGCTTCGAACAGCGTCACGCCCTTCAGGGCCTTTGTGGGCGTGCGGTTGAGGATGAACACCGCCATGGTCACCGCCTCACCCCTGAATTTTGTCGGCATGCTCTTGGCATTCATCATGGATCGAGCCATGTCGACCACCGTCTGGTTCTGCCGCTCCACCATGCCATTCTACTGCAGTGAGTACGGCGCGGTGTGGTGTCGCACCACACCCTGATCCGTGCAGTACACAGCAAACTCCACTGAAGTGAATTTGTCGCCGCGATATGTCCTCAGCATGCATAGCTTCTTCACGGACTCTGCCTCGGTCCGCGCCTAGAACCTCTTGATCGCCTCCGCTGCCTCGTCCTTGCTTGTCAGGAGTTGCAGCCACATGTACCGACTGCAATCATCCACAAACAAAAGGAAATATCGCCACCCGCCATGCGTGGCCAGCGTGATTGGCCCGCAGAGGTCGCCGTGGACAAGCTTGAGGGCGTCCGCCACGCGATACTTGGCCGCCTTTGGGAATGGCAGCCTCCTCTGCTTTCCGGCCAGGCAGCTGTCACATAGCTCGCCTGCGTGCCTGATGTGGGGCAGCCCGCGGACCATCTTTTCTAGCCAACCGAGCGCGTCAAAACTGAGATGGTCGAAGCGGGCGTGCCACAGCCACGGCCCCTCTGTGTGCTGCGTCGCCAAACAGATCGGCTGCTCCACCTTCAAGTTGAGCAAATACAACCGATTTCAGGATCGTTTTACCTTGGCAAGAAGCCGTTGCTCTCGATCCCGAATCCTCAAGATGCCGCTCTTGATCATCACCTCGCACCCACGCTCGTCTAGCAGCCCGTTGCTGATGATGCTTGAAAACAGCTAAGGGATGTAGTAAATGTCTGTCAGCCGCCACCTCCTCTGCTTTCTCCTCTGCCTCGATGTCATGTAGCGCATAGAACATCGCCATCAGGAGACTTGGCTCATCATCGTCCACCTACGCTAGGTGAGCCTCAGCCTTCTCCTTCTGGGTTGGGCACTCCTTTGCCTAGTGGCCTGTCTTCCCGTAGTGCCGGCAGGCGTTGGGGTCGACCTTCTTCTTCTTCTTCTTCTTCTTCTTCTTCTTCTGGAGCCTTGCCATGGCACTTGCCATTGCCGCCGTAGCTGGAGGAGCCTTCCCCGGACCGCCTCTCCTTCATCCGAGCAGTCCACTCCTCGGTCAGCAGCAACTTGCCACTATCCGTCGTCGTTGCTGTCGACTCTGTGCGGTCGTCCACCGCCCGCAAGCACCCAGTCAGATGCTCGATGGTGAGGGTTGACATGTCCAGCATTATCTCGATGGAGAGAGCGATCTGGGTGTATTTGGATGGCACGATGCACAGGTACTTGGAGACGGCCTCCTCCTCGTCGATGGTGACGCCATAGACCGCCCTGACGAGGGACTGCAGCCTGAGGGAGAAGTCCTCGACCGCCTCTCCACTGCGGAACTTGTGGTTGCCATACTCCCGCCGCAGTTACTGCACCTTCGCCTTCTTTGCGCAGTTGGAACCGATGCGCATGGCGACGAGGGCGTCCCACACTTCCTTGGCCATCTTCTTCACCCCCAGTGGCTCCCGGTACTCCAACGGCACGACGACTAGGATAGCCTCCATCACTGAGCAGTCATCTTCATCGTCGGTGCCCTGGTCAATCGCCTTCTAGAGCCGTCGGGCTCCGAGCTTGACCATCATGGTCACTGCCCACTCGCCATAGTTCATGTGGGTTAGGGTCGGCCAGCTGTTCCCGCTGACCTCCCGCACGTTGTGCACGATGACCTCTTGTCGTGGTTAGGCAACCATAGCATCACCGCCTTCGGTGCCCACCGATGAGCCATCCTCGCCAGCCATCGCCGGTGATCAGCCGGCAACGACGCAACTCGACATGGCTCTGATACCACTTGTTGGTCCCTCAATCCCTGCACGGGTAAGCAACTAGCATACCCACACACTCACACTGGTCGGCAAGAGGTTGAAGAAAGGGGGTGAGCTCAAAACACACACACAGCACAAAAACCAGTGTTGGCCGAACTCTGCTTCAAGTGTGGCAAGCTGAACTAAGTATTCCATTGCTTTTGGATAGAATATATACAACTCTAGTTGTGCCTTGCTAGGTACAAGGGCAGTTGGCAAGTACTCCAACTCCCAACTACTCCTATCTAATCCTAGTACAAGATTACTACAGACATGACCTATTACCACATCGCTATAGTGACTAGGAATGACAGCAGGGCTGACCACTGCTGTCGCACATGA